CTCCCAGCCCTGACACCCCAACCTCCCCAGCCCTGACACCCCAACCCTTCCAGCCCTGATACCCCAACCTCCCCAACCCTGACACCCCAACCTCCCCAACCCTGACACCCCAACCTCCCCCAACATTGACCCCCTCCTGACCCCCATCCCTAACCCCCCAGCCCTCCAAGCCCTGACCCCCCTCCCCCCCTGGCCCTAACACCCTCCAGTCCCCTGGCCCCGGCCTTGGTGGACCTGAGGTCCTCCAGCCCAGAGGGGAGCATCCTTGGGCTCAACCCCAGAGCTAGCCGGCCTCCGCCCTCGGGCTGCCCCGCCGTGCCCAGCCCTGCCCTCAGCCTGGCCTGGCTCTGCAGGCTCCCTGCTGGCCGAGGGGCTGCTATGTGGCTCCAGAGCTCCTCCCCTGCCAATCCTCTCCTCTCTTCAATACCCTGCCCAGCTGGTTCCTGCGCAAATGAGCCTCCCTCGCACCAGCCCGGGCCTGACAGGACAGAAGAGGAGGAATGGGGAGCTGGAGTGGTGGCCCTCCCCTTCCGAAGGGAGCCTAGAACCTAAATCCTCGCGGAGGCTACGTGGAGGCTGTCCAGGCAGAGCCGGCGAGGCTGGGGCCTGGGCGTCTGAGATCCGGGCCAGGCTCCTGGACCCGGCGAGTTTGCAGACCCGTGGGCCTGTGTTGGGTCGACCGCACCCCGGAGAGTTAGCCGCCCTCCTTCACCCACGACCCAGACCAGGGCAGTGGACACAGCCCTGCCAGTGCGCCCCGCGCCAACGCGGTGTGCGGACGGTGGGCACGCAGATGCGCGCGTGCCACACGTGCGCAGGGCAGAGCCCCGGCCTGCCCCAGGGCTTCCCGTTTGCCAGCCGTTATCTTCCAGAAATAGACGAACCCAGAGTCTCCATCGGGGACATTTCCCGATAAGCCTTATCTCCCTGCCGCTGCATTAGCGCCGGTCTGCGCCGCTGTGACTTCATTCCGAGTGGCAGGAGGGGAGGGGCGCGGCTGGGAGCACTCGCCCGAGTGCCCAGCCGGCTGTCCTGCCGAGGCCGCGGCCCCAGGGACAGCTCTGCTCCCTGCGCAGCTCGCCGATCACGCCAAGAGGCTGGGGTTTCTGGTGATGCCGGGCCGGAGCAGGCCTCTCCTGGCCACACTGAGCAGCACAGTGCTCCTCGGGTCCTGAGCTCCTGGGGGCCAGGTGCTGGGCTCCCCAGCTTTGTATTGGGGTGCCTCAGTTTCCTCAACCTGGGCCCTCCTCCCCGGGGGTCAAAGCACATCCAGGCGGGGTGCAGGGGGGGGAAGAGGCCGGTTTGGGGCTCGCGGGCCTGTCTCGTGGTGTGGTGACTGGAGGAATCGGACCGCAGCCATGGCCACAGAGCCTTGGCACCTGTCCCCGGAACAGCGTGTGGAAGGCCGGCAGCACGCGCCCGTGGCCAGGGCCCTCCCGCCCCTCCCGCAGGGGCGCAGGGGTGCCCGCGACCCCCAGGAGGAGGGCCTGGGCAGGCTGGAGGCCCAGCAGACCCGGCTGCCCCCTCTCCCGGCCCTCTTCTGGACCGGTGAAGGTCGGAGGCGCCACGGTGTCCACTCAGGTGGCCGGAGGGAGGTGCTCCAGAAGCCGGCGGCCGTCTCCCAGACGGAGACCTGCTCTGCTGTGTGGGAGGGCACAGGTGTGCGCCCCGCAGCCACTGTGGGGTCACGCCAGCCTGGGGGTCAGCGCGGGCCGGGGGCTGCCGGTGACGAAGCTCGGACCCCACCACCCTCCGCCCGGCTGCCGCTGCCTGGGTCCCTGCCAGGCCTGGCCGAGGCCGCTGTGCGGCGGCCACCCCCAGAAGTGTGGGGTGCTGGGCTCTGGGCCGGGGGTTTAATTAGGGACCGCTGCACAGGAGGACGGTGTGTTCCAGAACACCGCCCCCTCCCGCGGCCTCAGCTCTGCTTCACAGCCCCAAGCCATTTGATCGCAACTTGCCCCTGCTAGTATTTTTAATGCCATTTTTGCAAATTAAAGCATAATGCACCGATTACCAGGATAAAAGGGAGGCCTGTGCGTCCGTCCGGAGGCCCAATAGAGGAACGCTGGAACATCTGTGCGTCTCGCCAACGTCTGCAAGCGCTTTCCTTTCCCCGCAGCCGGCCGGTGCCACCCTCTTGCTCTCTCCTGTGCCCCACATGGGGCGGTGGGCGCAGGGCCGCAGACCACGCAGGCAGGGTGCCCCCGGGCCGGTCATACGGCCAGTACCCGGCCGCTGCTCCCCGGCCTCTACCCTCGGAAACGAGTCTCCACTCAGGGCGGAGCCCAGGACCCCCCACCCACCTGGCTGAGCCTGTTGGCTGGTGCGGCTGGTGTGGGGTCCCCGCGTTGGCGGAACGGCTCTGCAGGGGGCAGGGAGTCAGAGACTGGCAGACGGTGGGTGGCCGGGACATGAACTGCCCGTTTATTTGCCATTGCCGAGGGCTGCCCCACTGGGCAGCGGTGAGCCCGGGCTGCGGGCCTCGGCTCAGCTGCCGGGGTGGGGGGCAGGCGTGGGGCCGGCCCCTGGCCTCTGACAGCCCGCCCTGCGCTGGGCCGTAGGGCCGTGGGGCGGAAGCGAGGCACATGTGGGCGCCGGCGCTCGGCCCGGCTGCCGGGAGCCGGTCGCTCCTCAGGACTGGACCATGCGCTTGTGGGGGTCGAAGACGTAGCGCTTGAAGGACAGGCTGAGCGTCACGTGCTGGGGCTCGGGCCGCTCAGGGCCCTCCTCCGGCCTGGCCGCTTCCCCCAGGCCGGGCCGGACGCGCTTCTTGAGGGCAGGCGCCAGGGTCTTCTTGGATTCTGGGCCGAGGCCACCTGCAAGGTGAGGAGTCACGTCACTGTCCCCGCCAGAGAGGGGCCTGGGCACACCTGCTCTCCCCGCCCTAGGGCTTTGGTTGGGCTAATGGGGCCCTGCGGCCAGAGGACGCGGGAGGGAGCGGTGGCTGGGGGAGGGGGCGTCTTTTCCTTGGCTCCCAGGGCCATGCCGACCTCTGCTCCCCGGATTGCAGCGCGCACTGCACCCCGCCCCCCAGCCCGGCTCTGCTGCATGCCCGCCCAGCTCTGCCCGCGTGGTGAGCTGCGGGGACACTGGCCCCAGCGCCCCGCCCCCGCCCCTCGGCTGGGGCAGCAGCCCCTTCTTAGGTGTTTGTCGACAGAGCTGGGCGTTTCTGTGGTGCACCAATGGGTGTTGGAATGTGAATGGCGGTGTGCTTAAATAAAGCCAACGTGTCCACTGTGCTGCGGACTTACTGCCCTGAAGATACGCGCAGGGGGACGCGGGGTGGGGAGCGTCCACCACCTGCCTGGCGTCCAGCTCCGCAGCCCGACCCAGGGGCAGCGGGGCACGCTGGCCTCACCTCCACGCTTAGCCCTTCCCGGAACCTCAGTGCCCCGGCTCCCCAAAGACCACCCAGGGCGCCTCCTCCCAGGCCGTGGTGCTGAGGCCCAGGCGGGATGGGTCTGGCTGAGTCTGCGGCCACCATCTCATCCTTAGAGGATGCCAAGGGCCCTGCGGGGTCCTGCTGCTCCCCAAGTTCTGAAGGGTGACGGGGCTGGGGGCCGGGGGCCCTGCCGTGTGCACACCCTCTCCCTCCAGGTGGAAGAGGAGGGGAGGGCTCCGGGTCAGGCTGTCCACCACGCGCCCTGCAGACCGCCCTGTGGCCGGTGAGGCCCGCCCCGGCCCTGGGAGCTGCCCCTGGAGGCAGCCGCGGGGGGTCGGGCTGCACCCCACCGAGAGGACCCTGCGGCAGAGCCTCACACCGGTGCCAGGCCTGCGGGTCTGAGCCCAGGGCCAAGCCCGGCTGCCTGGCTTCCTTCTGCAAACAGAGACGGCGACTGGCACCAGACCCTGACAAACGGCACCAGCAGCCTGTCTCCCTCTGGTGCCAGGTCTGCCGGCAGGGGTGGTGGGGGCTCCTGGGTGGCTGCACCCTGCCGGGGAGACAGGCGCGGCCCAATCTGCCGGCCATCTCCCGCCTTGGCTCACCTTACACGCTCCGCACACACTGCGCGGGGCCCCAGGCTGTCCTGAGAGGGCGGGGCTCGGCCTGGGCTGTGTTCAGGTGGCCAGGTGAGGCTGTACACACACCGTGCAGAGCGGCCGGCGGGGGCAGACGCGGCCAGCCCTCCCGGGCCGAGCGAGGCTCCCGCAAGCTGCCTAGCGCTACGGGCGGCCGAGGAGACAGCCCGTGTGGCCCTGGAGGAAGGCGGTGGGGACTGAGTGTGCCCAGCACCAGGCTCTGGAGGAAGCTGGACCTGAGGCCAGCTGACAGGACCCAGCCACGTGCACAGGCTCCGGGAGCCGCTGGGAGAGGGCCAGGCCCACCAGGGTTAGGGTGGGTGGTGGGGGCTGCAGCAGCAGCATCCCAATCGCCACTGCCTGGCGTCCACATCTGCAGCCCGGGGCCTCGGGGGCACCCGCCTGGCCGCCCGGCCGGCCGCCCCCCTCAGACCGTCCTGGGGAATCCCAGTGCCCCTGCCCTGGCTCCCGCACATGGTCCCTGGCTCCGTCCCATGTCCATGCCTCCCAGGAAGCGGCTCTGGAGCTCCCACCCGCCCGCCCGCACCCCAGCGAGCTCAGCACATGCTGCTGCCACGCACACGCATCAAGGCTCTCGTCTCTCCTGCGCTGAGCATGCATCCGTGGCTCTGACTTGTGGTGGACCTTGGGGCCGAGGAGCAAACTCCTGCACCCCACACCAAGAAAGCATGTGTTCACCGTGGCGGGAAAGCACGTGAGCTGCGCATGTTGCCACCAGAGTGGAGAAGTCCACCTCCCAAACCCGAACAAGCACCGGGCGCTGCGGGCCGAGACCCCTGCGGTGCGGCCGACGCCGGCAGAGCCCCGAG